GGGATGGTGGCCAGTAACAAGCAGGGTCCCCCAGGGCTCTGTCCTGGGGCCGATCCTGTTTAATCTTTTCATTAACGACATGGAAGAAGGGGTGAACAGTCTGCTGATCAAATTCGCGGATGACACTATAACTGGAGCAGTGGCCACAACTGAGGAGCAGGTACTCCAGATCCAAAAGGATCTGGACAGACTATGGAAGTGGTCAGGAGACAACAGGATGGCGTTCAATGTGGATAAGTGCAAGGTCTTGCACTTGGGGCATAGGAATGGGTGTCTAAGTACAGGTTAGGGGACAAGTGGCTGGAGAGCAGCACTTGTGAAAGGGACCACGGGGTACTGGTTGACTGCAGGCTAAACATGAGTCAGCAGTGTGATGCGGTGGTCAAGAGGGCGAACGCCTCCCTTGGTTGCATAGCCAGAAGTGTGGCTTCTAGATCAAGAGAGGTATTACTACCACTCTACACGACTCTGGTGCGCCCGCAATTGGAGTATTGTGTTCAGTTTTGGGCCCCTCATGACAGAAAGGATATAGCCAGGTTGGAGTCAGTGCAGCGTAGGGCCACAAGGTTGGTGGCCGGTTTGCAGGGGATGCCGCATGAGGTGAGACTGAGGGAACTGGGTCTCTTCAGCCTGGAGAAGAGGAGACTCAGAGGGGATATGTTGGTGACATACAGGTATGTGAGGGGATGTCACATGGAGATGGGTAGAGACCTGTTCTCCCCTGGAGAGGAAGGCAGAATGTGCTCCAACGGAACAAAGCTCAGGGAGCCAAGGTTTCGTTTGGATGCCAGGAAGCACTTCCTGACAGTCAGGACCCCGAGGGTGTGGAATGGGCTTCCACGAGAGGTCGTTGAGGCCCCATCGGTGTGGGTGTTCAAGGATAGGCTGGATGTCCACATGGTGGGCATGTCGTGAGCGGAGCCGGCTGGTGCCGGATGTCAGACTAGATGGCCCGGGAGGCCCCTTCTGACTCGCTCTGTTTCTATGTTTCTATCTCCCAGTAGCCAAATAGTCTCAGAGGTTTACAAAGATTAAAAAGCTTAAAAATAAAAATGGTAGATAATAGAAAAGCATTAACCTACAAAGATATAAACACACACACACACACGCACACACGAGCTCTGAAGCCCAAAACCTGATGAAACCCTGTCATGTGCTTTCAAACATCTGAGAGCGGACAGAGTTCTTAATCTGAAAATGAACAGATTGCATTATTGGTGCCAGGCAAGACTCACTGTTTTGTTCCATAATTGGGGGGCCAGTCACTTTTCCTTTTTCCTACCCTTTGAACCTCTCTTGGGGGATACACTTGGAGGAGGGCCTCAGATGCTGCGTGTAGTTCACAAGTAGGTTCATACCAGAGGAGGTGCTTGATTAGTATTTCGGTTCCAACCCATCAAACCCATTAAACAAGCACCTTTAATTGGGCTTGGAATAGTACAGGAGTCCAATGCAAGTGGGCTAGAATTGGTGTTATATGTTTGGACCTATATCAGTCATAGCAAAAACCTGTTGCTGGGGTATAATAGACAATAACTCTGCTACTGGACATGTTTTCTCCTAGGCAAGGTTTCTAAGATCGGTATGGTCGCTTACAGTCTAAAAAGTATAGGAACTGATCCCTCCATGTGGCTACAGTTCAGATATTCCTCTAAGGTTGTTTAGAAGTAGCAGCTTTGAAGACATTTTTTGCTTATGAGAAAAGGCAGTAAAACTGGATCCTCTTTCTTGTGCGCTTCATATTACCTTGTACTTTGGTTGTAAAAAAGCAGCTGATTGTGTTCTGAATTTTATTTTGAAGAATGTGATGCCTGGAAGGTGTGCCTGCGACTCCGTGACAATGGACTACTCGCCAAACCAACACACGGTGACATCATCCGGTTGGCTCCCCCACTAGTGATCCAGGAGGACGAGATCAGAGAGTGCACTGAAATTATTCACAAAACCATTTTATCTTTTTGAAGGCATCTGATTCAAAGCGTGCTTGCAGGTTGCTTCCATTGTGTTACTACAAAAGCAGTGCTCTGGAACTCCTCTCCCTCCATATCTTTTCCCTTTTAATGATTTTCATCCTGTTGGGGGTGAAAACCCAATCCCTCTTAGATCAGATAGTTTACCTTTTTCATAACGGACCCAAAGAAATGGGGTTTTGCTGCAATGTGACTTTGGAAAATTTATTAGGCTTTGTTCAATGGATTATGCATTTGAAGTGTCTGAGAACATTTCCTTACATTTCTGCCAAAGTATAAATTATATTACTCTAAAGTACCAAATGCTAAAACCTTAAGAAGCTATTTAAACAAAATAATCTTTGACACCTCTTTGGAGGGCATCAACCTTACTGTCGGTATTAAGACTTGTATCATGTCAGGAAAAATTTGGAAATGAATATCTTTTCATAAAAATAGATCAGACAGGATTATGTATTGGTAAATGTTTTGTTACTGTAACTAGCAAATATTGGTTTTAAAATTAAGATTTATGTTCTGTTGGCATTAAATGCTGATTCTAGAACATGTGATCTTGTCTGGGGGATTATAAAAGAAACCTGAATGTAAAGGTGAAGTCTGAGTTAATATCCATAGCACAGAAGCTTTGTTAATACAAAAAAGGTTACTGTAATACAAATATCTCAGAAAATAACTTTGTTATCAAAAACTATCTCATACCTTTAAAAGGAAATAATAGCTTGACTCTTTCAGTGGTGGCATTTTATAGTATATGAGCTTAAAGTTGGCTCATTCTCCGTTATCTTGCTTTCTTCTCTCTGTTGAAGAACAATATTTACATCCATTTGTTACATCCAAGTAATTAAGGGGCCGTTCCCAATTTTGCCATTGCAACACATTCTGTAGCATGTTACTGTTGAATAAAATATAGAAGATATTTTGATACTGCACTGCTGCTGCGAGTGATAATGGGGTGTCCATTGCAAAGGCTAGCTTCCTTTGGCTAGGTGAGCCCGGGAGCCCTGCGATGTCTGTGTAATAAACTGTTTAAGCAGAGCAATGTGAAGTGTGCAGGTACTCCTGCAGGAGGCCGCAGATTTCCAGCGAGGCTTTCTGTACTCAAATCCACTTGGAAAGCGCCCGCTCTCATTTCGTCCAGATTCAAAGAGCAAGGCTGGAGTTATGCATCTGGCCCTGCTGTTCCACTGACCATTCCAGGCTTGCAGATGTGTGTATGCCTGCCCTGTCAAACCTGTGGGAGTTGGCACTGTGCTCTCACCAAAGGTTGGGGTAGTCTCCCCTCTTTTTGTAGCCACAGCTCCAGAAATGAAGGTTCCAACAGCTGCCATGCCTCTTCCTCCTGACTACTTCAGATGTCTTAGCAATTGCCAGAGTGGACTGAGTGCTTCTGGATGGGAAGCCGCCTCTTCTCCTGTCTCATGCAGGGCAAGTAATTGCTTGGGCAGTGGCTCTGCTTCTTTTGGCCAGCTGCGTACTGCATCCCACAGAGGTGCTGCCCCAGCAGCTCGCTCTTCCTTGTGGCGTCGTCTGCTGCTGGTTGGGGCTTGTGACTTGAGTGTAACTTTACAGAGGGAGCTTCCCACCCTTGTTCAGAAGCATTGACATTCGATAGTCTATGCCCTGTACCGTCATCCGTGGTGACCCAAACAGCCAAAAATCAAAAGAGCAACAAATGGCAATGGCACTGTTCTTAAGAAATATGGCTAACCTTATTCTTCAACTATGATTTCCCACAGTGGCAATGATGAAAGATCTGTGGGAAGGGCATTTAAAACAAAGGAAGAATGCTTCACGTTAAGAAATGAATTAACAGTGTTATTGCACCCAAAACATAATTGAAAAGTGAGGAATCCAACCATGGTTCATTTAAGCTAGTTTCTATGCATGAACAAGCCAGTACAAAAATGGTAACTGTTGCTTTCTTAAAATGCTTTGGGAAAGAATGGATATTCTGCTTTGATTATCCATCTGGATTTAGAGGTAGAATGTTTTTGTTACTGCTGCTCCCTGCTCATGTGGAAAAGGTCCAATGTATTACTTGGGAACAGATCTCTCAATTCTTGCAGACTGGCTAATGCAATCATTAAAATGTTGAGTGGTGTTGCTTCTGATGAATGTTAGGTGATTTTTGAGTGAGGTTGGCTGCCAAAGGTAGCAGAGTTATGTGCTCAAAGGTTTTAATATTTTCACATTGTTTGTCACAATGGTTGTTGTGTTATAGTAGGTATCCTCTTGCATCAATGACTAATTTCTTATAACTTACTCAACACTGAATTTGGCATGGTTCATACCTCATTTCTATTTCTGTATATACCTCAGTATGTTATAAATTGTAATTTGTCAAGACTGGTTCACTGTTCAACAGTTAAATTAAGCTGATTAATTCTGCTTTTACAAATGGACCTGGCTTACACAGTGAGAAATTGCTTAAATCAAGATGCAGGCAGCGGCTGCTGGTGGAAAGGAAAACCAAGATTTTATTGCAATTCGAAAGGGAAGAGTGTTCTACCAGGCTGGTGCTGGCCTAGGAAGGCGGCTTTATTGCCTTTTCATCATTCACAAAAAGTTATCAAGCAATTCTTGTGCCTGGCTGGACAACCTAGCTCAATTTTTCTTACTCTGAAAGTATTCTTAGTTGGATTTTCTCACACAGTTGTGTGTGTACCTGGGCATGACCCTCTGATTCCCCCCACCCCTACCCCTTTTCTGTGAATCTCTATGTTATTCTGGAAGTTTCCACAGGGAGGCATGGATGGAGGAGGACTAGAACAAGGCTGACCAGACTAAGGGGGCAGTGGGCTGGAGAGAAGGAGGTGTGTCCTACTAGGTTTATGTCAACTTTGCATGCTAGGGAAGGAGACATGGGTATGAATCCATGCTGGAACTTACTTGGGGCTTTATTGGAAAGGGTAGGTAAAATGAGTATGAAATCTTAGGAATGCTGTGCATAAAATAAAATTATGCAGGGAACAGACAGGTGGTTTTATTTTACACAGAGACATTTTCCGCCTGTTAATGGTAGAATATTGGCATGATAGGTCTTATTGCACTAATGGATTACCTCAAATGTTCTGAATACCAGTCTTGGGAAATGCTATAACCTTTTTTTCCCTTTGCCCTCCAAACTTTTTATGTTTTAAGCTCATGAACAGCAGAACATTGCAGATCAACACTTTGTGAAGTGACATGCTTAAGAATCTAAGCATTCTTTTGTTGGCTTGGAATACAGAAAAGCGCAGTGCAACCTTTTACTTTTCGTTGGATGTCTTATCTGTCTTATCCTTTCACAAGCAGCCAGAAGGTGGTGCTGCATACCCATCTTCAGTGCAGAGGTGTGCAGGGAGGATTGAGGTAGGAACAGAGCTCATCTCTCAGCTTCTAAAATGAGGAGGGAAAATTACCTGTCTTTTGCAGCTAAATCTTTGTCTAGCTGTCCATCCAACCTGAAGGCAATAGGCCCAACACTGTATAAAAGTATCCAATTATTTTTAAAGTGCAGCAGATTATAATAAAAATCTTCAGTGTAACAAACTGTTTTGCCACAGGGTAGTTCTTTTAAAATTTTAAGGAAGTTACTACTTTTTTCCCTTTTGCATAATAGAACTGAGATTTCATCAATATATAGATACTGACAATTAAAAATGACATTGCTCGTTGCAAAGAGCATTAGATTTGGGCCTATGAAATAATGTACAACATGATGACCCTCTGGGTTAACTCATGATGAGGCTGCAACTTGTGCAGTCTACTGGAATTACACGGGGATTCTTGTTCCATGTGAACCTGTTAAGTATGGATTATGCAAGGGCTGAACCATCATGGAACTCATGTTTTGGTTTAGGGCCATAAGAGGTTTAGGTCTTGCATCATTCATGCTACTAGGTTTGCATGACACAACCCTGAGTGAAGGTTACATGGTTATCATATCACATTAACCTGGTCATTCTGTCTCTGCCATGATTCCAAAGTATGTTTTGATGTCTAAGATCCTGACTACGTATTCTTAACCTGCTAGCCATAGTTTTCTGGTTTGGCTGTACCCAGGTAGGGTTGATTGAAGACTTGCTGGTTTTCTGCAGTGCACTGAAGAGGGAAGGTCGTGCACAAAGACAGTATCCTGGCAAAAGCTCATGTATATCTTGATTTATTAAACTGAGATAAGATTTGCCTGGTGTAGTCTTGGGCAAGTCACGTTCTCATTTCGACATGGGTCATTAAAAAAAAGTCTTTTGGAGCACATTGCAAATTAAACTAATATGCAAATAATTAACAGTTGTACTTCTGAAATGTTTTCACCATGTAAAATTAGAATTAACTTTTCTATTCTGTGTAAAATCTGGAGGTGTAGTGTGCAGTTAAATATTAAGGTTAGCAGTCCATGTTTTTCCAAACAAATGATTCCCAAGGCAGCTCACAAGCAAAAGATTGAAATACATTGTAATCAAAGAGGAAGGGTGTCACACCATCACTCCAAGATATTAAATCTGCACACCTGAAATTTGACGTGTGTGCGAAAGAGGCTGCAGGGGTGTGCACCTTGGGGTTCTTTGAGGGGGAGGGGTTAGCATGCATTATTTTCAATTAATTTAAATTTGTGTGCTTGAAGCCTGCAGTAGCATCTTCAGTCAGTAGGTGGCAGACAACCATTGCATTGCTTCGTAGTTGATAAAAAGATTGAAGTAGAGGACAGTAGTCAGAGGGAAAGAATTATAAAGTTTATAAAAAATTAAAAAGTTTAAATTATAAAGTTAAAATTTATTTATTAAAACATTATAAAAATGTTTTAATAAATAAATAAATAAATATGCAACTCAAACTAGCCATGCAAGCCAGGAGCCCTTGGTCCTCTTGTTGATGCATGGTGCTAGCGCATGCAGGCTTCACCTGCCTTCTGCAGTCCCAGGGCACCTGCCACTGGAACTGAGTGGTCTTTTCTGGGAGGGAGTGGAAGCCAGGCTGGGCTTCCCCTTGCCATGGTGGTGGCAGTGGGTGCAGCCTCCACAGGGGTAGTTGAAACCGATCTAGACAGAAGTGCTCATGTTTCAGTGGGAACCTGTCAGTGTCATTGAAGCCTGGTCTCTTCGATATTATCACTGTGTGTGTCAACACCTATGCTAGACATAATGTTTTGTTGATCTCATTTTAATCTGCTGTGGAGTGCAACGTGAGCTCACATTCTTTATCTCGAATGAGTTTAGTATGTCACTCCTGCTTGGGGTTTGGGAAAGATCTTGTAGAGTTGCTGATTGAAGAGGACTTGCTTTGTCTGTGTTAGATCTTGGTTTTTTAAAAACTCTGAACATGTTGCAAGCAAGCTAGATTTCATCTGATGGTATATGGATCTATAAGTGCAAGCACATTTGGTCTTTTCCTCATCCCTTTGGTTAAGATGTTCAGGGTAGACTCGTTGCTGAAAATAGCTGGCTTGTCAAGGTACTAATATTACATTTTCTGCTGTTGTGTTCTGCATGTGTTGGGCAGCAAGTGTGATTCTAATTTTAGTTAGCTGCAGTATTCGTTTATGTTTAGTGACAATCTCTGGCTGAAATAGAAATTGCTTTAAGGAAGAGCAAAAAAGTGCATCATATCTGTTGTTGATATAACTATTCCTTGCAAGCTTTCTACTCCATGGATTCCTAAAACTGAGATGGAGTGAATTTCCTCATCCTCCCGATCCTAATTATGGGTACTTGAGGCATGTTCCTCCATTGCTTTCAGTGGTGCTTCATCCTCATAAATGGAAAGAACTTGTTACCCTTGAGAGGTTTAAAGACAGAAAACAGATCTCTCTCTGCCCTATTTTCCAAGGTAGCAACCTTTAACTGATTTAGGCTACAACCTTACACACACCTACCTGGGATGAAACTCAGTGGGACTTACTTCTGAATAGGCATATCTAGAATTGCACTGATGAAATCACTTGCAGTAC